GAGACGAGGTCTTGCCAAGTTGCCTGGGCTGGTTTCGAACGTGCAGGCTCAGGCAATCCACTCGCCTCGGCCTCCCAAAGTGCTGGGATTACAGGGTGAGCTACAGAGCCTGGCCCCAGCTTTCTTAAGAGTATATAGGTGTATCTTTTTATTCTTTGCTTGTCAATCAATTTGTGTCCTCATAATTAAGATAGCATCTCTTGTAAACAGCACAGAGGCTTTCAGGGACTTTGTTTTGCTTGTTTTTAAAAAGGCTTTGGTGCATTTCACCAAACGAATCCTCCAGGAAGGACACAGTGATTTATTCCTGTAGCAGCGGCCACAGTGGCCACGTTATCACTTCTTGGGTGCTCCCATCCCCTCCCCAGACAGCTGACTCTGGGTGTCCCTGCCACATCTGCCCTGGGTAGTAGTGGTGAGCACAAGAGGATGCAGTGGTGGCAAGTGGCTGAGGCAGGGCCAGTTGCCCACTTGGCAGGGGTTGCTGTTCCTGGACTTACTCGGCCACTTTGCTGATGATGCCTGGCTTGGACTCTAACTTGGTGTCACTGCTCCTGCACAGCCATTGATGATGTGGGAAGGAAGAACTGGAGCCATTTCTTCCAGGGGCCCCCTTCCTGTGCAAGGAGCCAGGCAAGGGGAGAGACTGGCAGGCCTGGCCTCTTCTGCTGGGTCCTGGAGCAGGCTAGAGTCAGACTTGTATCCCTGAGCCCCACCCAGCACACAGCCAGGGCCGGGCTTCAACAGCAGCCCTGGCTCTTACTCTCTGTGCCATCTATAAGGTGAGGATAATGAGGATAATAACAGCAGTATCTATCCCTTAGGGTTGTGTAAAAGTTTAAACACATAAATATTTATCAAGGGCTTGGCAAAGTACCTGGCACATGGTACAAGTCTGATCAGTGTTGGGTAGGATTATTGCTCATGTGCCCACAAGCTGTCCTGTCCGTTATTTGCCCAAACGGTGCTACCTGTGCACACCCGCCACTCCAGTTAACCTTCACACCCATCCAAGCACAGGCACATGCACGGGCACACACTACCACTCGACTCGCCCTCCGTGGGCCCACTGAGGCACCTCCCGTGGGCCTTTCTGCACTCACTCCTCCACACTGGCGGTGGCGCTGGTGCCACTCCCCAGTCACCTTGGCTTCCAGTTACCTTGGCTCCAGCAGGCAGCCACGGGAGGCCCGGATGGTACCGGAGGGCAGAACAAAGCTGGCGTTTCCACCTCCCTGGCCATGGGCAGCCCTCTCACAGCTGCGGTGGGTGCCTCCTCCATGGCTCCAGGTCCCCTGACAGGGCCCAGGGTGCCAGCTTCCACTGGGTGGTCCCACCTCTTTCTCTCGCCCCTCCAGCTGTGGGTGGCAGAGCCTCTGGGTCACCACACCTTCACATCTGGGTTTCAGCCCCTTCTGGACTCCAGCATCGCACACTTCACCATGCGTCCGTCACGACGTCCGTTCCTGAGTCTCCCTCTCCTGTGGCAGAGTCTGCAGCTGGCTTGGAACAGCTCCTGAGGCGGTCCTGAGTAGGGAGGAGTGCAAGCCCAGTGCCCCCTGCCTGGCTAGGGAGGCAAGTCTGCCAACTCAACTCGGCTCCAAGGGAAGGGAAGTCAAGGCATGTGTGTGCCAGGCAGCCTCTCATTTGCTCCCATGGCAATGCTCTCTTGCTGAGAACCCCTGCTGCAAACGACAGGAACCGTGTTAACTTGAGGTGTGGTCAGACCCAGGTGCTCAGTGAGCTCATGCTCTCTCCGTGCCTTGACTCTGCATGCCTGTCAGCTCTGCTCTCTGGCGTCCTCCTCCTGTATGGAGGTGAAGGTTGTTGCAGAGGAAGGAGAGTCTTGACAGAGTTGGGAGGAGTGGTCTTCAGGAAACTTGAAAAGCTCCTTTTTTCCCCTTTTTTTTGAGTCAGAGTCTCACACTGTCTCCCAGGCTGGAGTGCAGTGGCATGCTCACAACTACCACAGCCTCGACCTGCTGGGCTCAGGCGATCCTTCTGCTTCAGCCTTCCAAGTAGCTGGAACTACAGGCACATGCTAATTTTTATTTTACGAAGTCTCACAAGTTGCCCAGGCTGGTCTCGAACCCTTGGGCTCAGGCAATCCTCTTGCCTCGGCCTCCCAGTGTTGGGATTACAGGCATGAGCCACCGCACCCAGCTGAAAATCTACTTCTAAAAGAAGGCAGATGGGTGCTAAGCAGGCCAGAGGTGTGTCCTACAAACCCTAGATGCTGTGGTCACTGACCTGTAGGTGAGGGAGCCGAGACTCAGCCCTCAGGGAATGGCAGCCACAGGAGGTAGAGCCCACTCCCTCCCACAGGCATCATGCCGTCCCGCTGCTGGAGCCTCTATAGGAGCCTGTGTGGGCACTGACCCCACACAGATGAATACAGGTATGGGGAGCACTGAGGAAACTTTCCAGTGGTCCTCATGTCTCATTCACTCAGCGGCCCTGGTCCCCTCCCTTTGCCAAATCCTGCAGAAGGGCTCAGGGACCCCCAGGTTTCAGGCACTCCTGGCCGCCATGTTGAGAAGCCTGCAGACCACACAAACATGCTTCTTGCCAAGTTGGAGGCCTGTGCCTGGCAGGGTAAGCACCTGACAGGAGGGCTCAAGAAGCTCCCATGCTGCCTGGGGGAGGAGACAGGCCATCTGGGAAAGGGCCACAGGCTCTGGAGCCAGGTGTGTAGGCGGGAAGGTGTGAAATGGACAGGCATTCAGGTGGGGAGGTGTGAAGTGGACGGGCACGCAGGGGGGGAGGTGTGAAGTGGATGGGCGTGCAGGGGGGGAGGTGTGAAGTGGACAAGCCAGCTGGCCTGGGTAAGGGGTGAGTCTTATTCTCAGACCAAGTGGAAGTTGATGTGGAAACCCAGCAAGATATGTGGATTTGGGAGGCCCAGGGCTACGGACACCACAGGAAAGAGGGACAGGTAGGCCCGTCCAGCTGGAGACAAGAGAGTGCACAGACGGGGAGGTCAAGGCAGGGCCTTGGGTTCTGAGGGAGCCCTTGGGGGCCCCACCCAGGCCCTGCCCTCCACATCCACACCTGAGGCTTGTGTCAGGACAAGAGTCCTGCTCAGGTGGCCTGGGCCCGCTCCCAGCTCTGCTCTTCGGCCCCCAGACCCACAACAGTTCCTGGTCTGAGTTAGCTGTTCAGCGGCTGTGGGCAGGGGTGATGTTTCTTGAGGCTGCTACTCCAGCCTCCATCCCTGGCCACCACCTTGGATGGCCCTGCTGAGGATAGGAGACTGCTGCTGCCCTCACAGTCCTTGTCCTGTCCTGTTCCCAGAGCAGAATGTGGAGCACAGAGACCAAATGGATCTTTTCACTCCCCTCAGTCAGCTGCAGCCTTCCCAGACTGGCTCCAGACAACAAAGGAACACAAGGTTGCAGCAAGAGGACATGGAAGTGCTTACTGCAAGGGCGTGTGCTAGCTGTGCCCTGCCGGAAACTGAGACTGGAGCCCCAGTTAGCCTGATGGAGGAGGAGGGCTACTTGGGAGAGACTGTGGCAATCCCGCCAGCCATTCAGCATGGTCTGCCTGCCAGCTGGCCCGGGCAGGCTCAGGTGTAAGCCCTGCCCAGTAGAATCACCAGCCACAAAAAAACACTGTGTTTTAGCCACAAGATCTGGGGATGGCTTGTTACACCCAGACAGAGCGAGCTGGTACAGGCTCATGCACTGTCTAGCCCATAGGTGTGTGTGGGCTTGGCAGTCTCTCTTGTTTCTCATCCCAGGAACCCCACCCTTATCAATACCTGGAGAAGCTCTGAAAGGCACTTCCCTGAGATCTGGAAGCTGAACAAAGCTTAGAAGGGCCTCAGCAGTCTCTGGCTGGAGAAGAGCTTTGATGTCATTTAACGAGGTCAATAAGCAAGTGATGTGTGATCCCACTGGGCTACCTTCTCCTCTCAGTAGGCCCTGCCCTCCCTGAAGGGCTCAGGCCAGGACACCTCGGAGTACCCCTCCTGCTGCTCGAGTGTCTCCTGGTGCGTTTTGATAGGCTGACCCAGAACGGCTGGAGGAGTCTCCAAGGCTGCCTTCCTGCAATTGACAAGCAGCTTGGCTGCATCAGACTGTTTCTATTGCCTGATTGGACAATCAGACACTCCCAAGCCCCCTGGGGCTCTGAGTGTGAGAATTTGGGGATAGCAGAGATGTTTGTGTCAGGACTGCAGGCACTCAGCTCCAGATGGCTCGGAGACTCCCAAACAAACTTCGACAGGAAACCCCAGGTCACCAGCAGAGGGGCTAGAGGACACAGGCTTCACCCCAGGTTCCTCCTACTGACAGGGTGCAGGCGGAGGGTTGGTCAGCAAACTGCAGCTCAGGGATGCAGCTGAAGGTCAAGCACTGGAAGGCCAGTGCACAGACACCAACTAAGCAAAGCATGTCCCAGACGCAGCTGGTCATTGGTCTTTCTCAATTCCTACATGCCTTAGTCAGCAGAGTACCTAACGCCTGAGTCAGGGATTCTGAAATCCCCCAGTCAGATTCAAGTCCTGCCAGCCCTGCCTGGGTCTCCAGTGTGCAGTGCCCTCAGCAGGCTGTGGTGCTTGCTCCCTGGCATCAGTCCCGACCACTTGAGCCGCCCTCCACCTCAGAGGAGGTGTGATTTGTGCAGAGAAAGCAGTGCTAGCAGCCAGCAGCCCACCCCACGGTCCTACTGCCTGCATCCGGCCCTGCTCCAAAGTCCACTGTCCAGTGTCTGTGATCCTCCCTGCCGGGGTTCTGGCCTGCCCTGCAGCCTCTGTCCAGTGCTGCCTTCTGAGCCCAGGCAGCACCTCCCTCAGGCAGCTGGCCTCTCTCTGTCTGCTCTATCCCTAGGAAGAGGCACTTACCCTCTCTCCACCTCATACCTGATTCTGCCTGGCATCTGCAGGTCCATGCCGCTACCCCTGCTGGGCCAGGGGCTCCCTGAGGGCAGCAGCCTATGTTGCTCAGCAGCAGAGGGCTGGACACAAGAGTAGGCAGCAGTGATTGTTTGCCAGTGAGTGAATGACTGAAAACAAAGACATCTGCTTTATTTGTTTCCGGATAGTAGCACATACTCTGTTTCCTAAATACATGGCAGCCCCGTGCTCAGAGGCATATGTGGGTGTCCAGCAGGAAGCAGCAGGGCATGGCGGTGACCCAGGCTTTGTGGATTGTGGTCCCACGACTGGTCCCTTCTTCAGGGCTCCTGGTCACTGCCAGGCCAGGAATAGTGCCGCTCCTCAGCCCTACAAAGAGAACAGGCTAGGGTTCAATTGTGGCCCTTGCAGCTGGGCTCCCAGGCTCCTCGCAGACAGCCCTGTGGCAGCACCATTCCACCTGAGCACGGCTGTGGCCGGTATTCCTCCCCACCAGCTGGACCCCTGGAGACTCAGGACTGAGCTTCTTTACCTCTGTGCCCCAGTGCCCAGCACAGCGCCCAGTCAGGGACAGGCTGTCACCCAACATGCTACATGATCATCATGGAATGATGCCAGCTGGCAAGCCCCTCCATATCTCTCCTCTCCTCAGAGCTGGCTCAGAGGCAGGCAAGTCTCATGCCTACCTTGGGTACAGAAGGGTCTAACTTAACTCTGCTCTGCCTCACTGAGTCTCCCTCTGTTCTCTTATCTAACAGCTCGGAATGTTCTAGTTCAGAAAGAGCCCACAGTGTGCGACAGTCCACATCCACACATGCACACGCCTCCAGGCCTAGGTGTCTTCTGGCTGCCCTAGGAGCTCCAGGCAGCTGCCAGAGGGTCTTGGCAGAGCCAGGGAGGGGGAATGAAGGATCCCTACGGGGATTCTGCTTCTGGAAACAGTCAGGTGGCAGGGGACAGGGGCTCTGGCAACTGCCTGGAGCTCCTAGGGCAGCTAGGAGACATCTAGGCCTGGAGGCATGTACATGTGTGGATGTGGACTCTTGCACACTGTGGGTTCTTTCTGAGGCTGGCAGCAGGTGGCGGCACTGGCTGCATCTCACACACAGGGTGCCCCTGAATGTCTGGGTGCCAGGGCCTCAAGGGAGTCAGGTCAGATATGGTGTCCCCAAAGGCACACATACAGATGCAGCAAGGGGGTGCTGGGTTGGCCCCTGCTGTCACCAGTGGAGGAGTCTCCGATTTCCTCTTTTTTTGAGTTGGAGTATCACTCCATCGTACAGGCTGGAGTGCAGCGGCACACTCATGGCTACCCCAGACTCGACCTGCTGGACTCAGGCAATCCTTCCATCTCAGCCTTCCAAGTAGCCGGAACTACAGGCGTGTGCTACCGCGCCTGGCTAATTTTTTGATTTATTGTAGAGACAATGTCTTGCCAAGTTGCCCGGGCTGGTCTTGAACCCACAGGCTCAGGCAAACCACTTGCCTCAGTCTCCCAAAGTGCTGGGATTACAGGCTAAGTCACCCAGCCTGGCCTCCAATTTCCTCTTTAATGATGGTGGGTTGAGGGGTCTAGAGGGAAGGAGCTGGTCCTGGCAGTGTCCCAGAGCGTATCTTGGGGTGTTGGAGTTACAGAGAACATGCTGGAGTTTAGTGCAACCTGTCTCCCCTGGTCTTCTCACTTCTGCCTTGGTGCGATGAAGATGTGTGGGTGAGACGTGTCTGTTAAAGGCAGACCCCCCTTTTTTTTTTTTGAGTGGGAGTCTCACTCTGTCATCCAGGCTGGAGCACAGTGGCACTCTCATGGCCACCACAGCCTCGACCTATTGGGCTCAGGTGATCCTTCTGCCTCAGTCCTCCAAGTACCTGGAACTACAGGCACACACTACCACGCCTGGCATAAAAGGCAGACTCTTGTAGCAATGGAGGAGGGGCTGAAAACTGCCACAGGTGTGGGCTGGATGGAGGTGAGGAGGCCAGGGCTGTGGGCTGAGGGGTGGGCTCTTCCCTCGGTAGTTAGGTGTGTGATGTGCAGGGCTGGAGCTGTCATGCATGGTGAGGGAAGGATGTGGGACAAGACTTCCCCTTGCTGATGATCGGGGCACTGAGTCCCTGGTCACCATGAGGGCCCACACGCACCACATGGTCCAGGCCAGGTTGCCAGCTCCTAGTGCCCCCCACCCAGTTCTGCAGGACCTTTCCTGCCACCTGGGAATCGAGCAAGCAACTTTCCAGGTTCCATGACAGAGCAGGAAGCCTTCTCATAGAAGGCTGATGGGGGTTTCATGCCCATTCATCCCAGGTGCAGCTGCTGCCGGACTCTTCCTGGGTGAGGGGATGGTTGGTGCTGGTGTGTGCTGTGGCCAGCCCAGGGCAGGTGGCCAGTCTTGGCAGGTGGATATGAGTGGGCAGAGCCATAGCCTGAGGATGCTCCCATGAAGCTCAGGGCTGCAGGACCCTGCTCAATTCTGTGGGACAGAGTTTCCTGGCAACATGGCCACAGAGCTCATGGCCTCAGACTTCAGCCTTTCCTAACACAAGTACCTAAGGCATTTGTCTCCTCCTTAGGCCAGAGGCTTTTCTGTGGGAAAGAAGGCCCTATCCCACTCTTTCTCAGCATATTTTAACAAACACGCTGACCCTCTCGTAGAGTCCAAGCCAGGAGTTCCAAGGGTGTATGATACTCCCCTAGGTGAGAGGTGGCATGTGGGGAAGAAGAAGACCAGCTGCAGCCTAGAGCATCATTACTGCATGAGAAGACACTGCTGGGCCTGGGAAGGTGGAAGGAATTATCTAGAAAAGGGAGCAGTCATTGGGAACAGTAGGAGGAGAGGAGCAGGAGAGGGAGTTGGCTGGGAGGGCCAGAGAGGAGGGCTGGGCTTTGGGAGAGCATCTCATGCGTCCAGGACAGCTGAGGCCCACCGGGGGTCGGGGGCCAGGCACTAGAGAGCACACAAGACCTGGTACTGCTCACCAGGGAGACCGGGCCAGCATGCTCCTCCAGACCAGCACACGGGTGACGGGCACAGGCAACTCTTGATGGCTGCCTTCCGTTCCTCTTCTGGCAGGCCCATCCTTGCCAGGGTCCCACCATGCACCCAGGCCTCCTCTGTGTCCCACTCCCAAGCTCCAAGAGATAAGAAGTCTGCACATGTGTGTCCTTCACTCGGGGCCTACCCCTCGAAGATGGGGACTGACTTGACCCAGTCACGCTCCTGGCCCAGTCGCATAGGGCAAAGCTGCACAGGGGCCAACTTTTCCTGGGCCAGATGTTCAAGGCACTCACGTGGGCAGCTGGGCAGAGTGCTTGAGCCAGGATGTGACTGAGGAAACCTAAGACCTAAGAATCCCTCCCTTGACAAATTCAGAGACTCAAAGTAGGAAGTCTGACTCTAGCAGAAAGATAGGCAGCGCAATCTCCAGTAATTGAGGTCCCCGGAGCCCCAAGTCGCAGGAGGCAGGGGAGGCCTTACCTTGTGGGCGGCACTCACGCAGTGCTGGTAGGCCTTGACCAGGTCGGAGCACAGCAGCACCTCATGCAGATGGTCTCGGTAGCAGCGGAGGATCTGGGCCTGTAGACCTGAGCACACCGGCTCCACGCTGCGGGGCCTGTGGACGAGAGGGTAGCAGACCTATGGCTCAGCTGCCAGTGGGCAGAGGAGAGGCAGCTCTGTTCATGCCACCTGCCTGTCAGATGCTGGGATAAGCCCTGACATCTGCCAGTGCCCTTGCCACCCTCAAAAAGGAACACTGCACTTTCCTGGTCGAGAAATGAGAGGAAGGTTGGGCAGCCAGGCCCTGCAGGTGGTGGCTTAGGCTCAGACCACAGCAGGCACTGAGTACGTGGGTTAGAGGTTGGGATCCAAGCCGGGCTCCTTTCCTGCAGCCTGAGCACCTCTTGGACGCTGACCCTGCCTAGAGGAGCCCTGCAAGGATGGTGTGCCCTGCCCCCAGGCCAGCCCTCCCAGCTGTGCCCAGGTCAGCTGCCTTCTCGGGAGCTTCTCTATGCCTATAGTTTACCCGAGACTGTAACCATATGACTTTTATTTTTTCTCCCTTATGTCAAAACTAATAAATGTGCACCAAGGAAAACGAAACCTACAGAAATGTCTAAAAAAAGAAATAAAAACTTTTCTTCTTTTCACTTCTTAGAGACAACCATTCCAATATTTTGGGGAATACTTTACTATTTTTTCCTTCCTTTATCAAAGTAGTGTTAGTACTCACAAAAATGAATATGCTCACTGTTTAAAAACTGTGAAACAAAAACAAATCAAATGACAAAGTAAAATACAGATGACACTAAAGTCAGTCACCAGGCCAGCCTCTGTGGGGTCATTTCTGGCTGGTCTGCTTCCCATTCCCCTTTCTCTCTCTCTCACTCACACACACTTACACACTTTGACATACTCTCACCCACACACTCCCACAAACCAGACTCTGTTCCTGTGCTGACACACTCCCTCAGTGCTTCCATAACAGCTCTGTGCAGCAGACGCTATTTATCATGCTTCTTACATGCGAGGAAACTGAGGCACAGAGAAGTCAAGGCCACAAAGCTGGGAAGTGGATAAGTGAGATATATTTACTGATGTGTGTTGGTCATACTGTTTCCACTGAGCTGTCTTGAGTAGGTTTTTAGGTCAGGCTTATATAAGACCCTTCCCAGGTCGAGGGACTCATGGAACATCTGACATGGCCTTTCAGAATTAGCACCACTCGCAGCTGAGGGGACCAAAGAAAGCTGTAAAAATGCAGAAGACCATTTCTCAGGTTTCTTGGCAATAAAAAGGACCAATGCCATGCGCTATGCGGCTCTGCTCGGCACACAGAGGGGGAGTGGTGGCCCCAGAACCTCCTGCCCAGTTTCTCCAGTTCACAATGTGGTGCCATGAGGGAGAGGCTGAATGGAGCACCACCATTACTAGCTTGAGATAACTCAAGCCACAGTCAGCAGCTAAGAACAGCAAGCTAACAACTGCAAGCAGTGGGACATCTAACAGCTTAGGGAATAAGACCCAAATGCAAATGTCTCTCTTCAGAAGTCTGGAGGTTAGCAATTCCTCTACAGCTGGCCCAGCTCAGAGATGCTGCTCAGACCCGGGTCTTCCTTTCTCCTCCTATGCCACCATCAGGCCACTGTCTGCTTGGATGGTCCCCTCTGCAGCTGAGCTCAAGGCAGCAAGGAGAATCAGGTCTCTCTGCTGTTCATTAGGTAGAACAATCCTCCACCAAAACCTCACTCCCAGTTCTCTCCGTTATCCACTGGCTCAATCCAGTGAGATTCCCAGTTCAGCAAAGATCAGAAAGGTTCATCCCAGGGCATAAACAAAATGGGTGGTTTGTAGGTAAAGAGGGTGGGATGAGTGTGGGGATGGGGCAGTGGCCCAAGGCTGACACACCACACCAGCAACGAGGCCTGGGGCCGAGGTCAAGGATGTGACAGGAGGGAGGGCCTCCCATTCCTGCTGAGGGAGGCCACGCTGGCCCAGCCCTGGCCTGGGTCCTGTAATTCTACCTTGATTTAGCTCTGAGGATACAGAATTCTGATTCATGCCTATGGTTACATGAACCAGGTCTTAAAGGGCCTTCTTATTTCTTGCAGAGGACACATGGGGTCTTTTCTCCGCATTCACCTCCTGTCCTTGCACATGCGAGTCAGATGGCCCTGTGGACACAGCCCTTTCTGCTCAGGCCTCTGAAGACTTCCCTTTGCTGGCTTCCATCTGCTGCTGCAGAGGCAGCAGGGGCAGGTCCACAGCTGGGGCATCGTGGAGCGGCCATCAGTTCCTTCTCAAAGTGCTTATAGAATGGCTCCACTTGTGTATTTAAGAACATTTTTACATGGATGTGTCTAGTTGTGAGCCTTTTGAAGCATCTTTTACCTGGGGAGGGTGGAGATGGGGGTGGGGAGAGACAGCCGCCCTGATGGCATTTTGTCTCAGGCAAGTGCTCTCTAGGACTGTGTACTGCTTGGGTTCTGACTGTTCTGACATCTACTTCAGCACACCTAAGTCACAGGTTAGATCTCGGCTCTCCTCCGCCATCGCCACTGCCACCTCTCCTTGTCCTAATCTCTGGCTCTCAGTCATTGGAAAGTGTGATGCACCTTCCTTGCCCCTTGCAGGGCTAATTCAGCAGGTGGCCTATGCCTTCAGTGGCCCTGCCAGTGACATTGGTCTCTCTCCCACCACCTGCGCCCCTTCATCCCAACCTTCTGCTCCTCCCAGTCATGTTGGCCCTCTAGAGTCTGAATCCCCAGGGCACAGTTCTATCTCACCCTCTACTGCACCCCTCGAAGCACATGTCCCTATACCCTCATGTGGCCCTGGTGAGCCTGGCTCCTGCCTGCACTCAGTGGACACCTGTATCATGGTGAATGGCTCGGGCAAGCTCTGGGTTTAGTATAGGCAGAGCTGTCACTCTGTGAGGCTCACTCATTTATGTGGAAAGAAATGCCACAGACAGGACTAGTGGGGGCTACGTGGCCCAGGCCCAAGTCACATGGAGCAAGAGCTCTGACCCTGAGCCTCGCCCCCTATAGATGCCAGCAGTTTTACAGGGCTGTGTGTGAACAGAGCAGTTGCTTAATAGCTTGTCCGTCCCCATAGCCAGTGGGGCCCTCCTCACTGACTTCTCCTTTGGCTTCAGATGCCTGGACGAGAGCCCCTGGATGTGTGAGGGTAAACCTCCCAGTGGGCTCCCAGTTCAGGAGAAACTGGGCTGTGGAGAAATCTATCCCCTCCTCACCAATACCTCCCTCTGGGCCACAGAAGCCTCTTTCCTCTGGGATTTAACAGGAACAAATGAGGAGATAGAAGAGCAGGCAAATGTCAGCTGGAAGAAATTTCACCCATTTGTCCACACAAAGCCTCTGAATGAAATAAGACAAGGGAGAACACAGCTCTTGAAATGGAAAGCTTTTTCTGAAGCCAGGTGGGGCTTGGCCTGGGTCAAGCCATTCAGGAAAGTAGGTACATTCTGTCCAGGCTGAGCCCCACCCGGCCCTGCCAGACCCCATTACACAATGCATACAGAACATCCAAACATTTAGAAACAGCCAGTCTTGCCAAAAGCCTCTTTTCAAATGCATGAAGAAAGGTATCCACAGCATGCTGTGAACTTCCCAGGGAAAGAAGTAAGTGCTGTGCCCCTACCTGAGGGACATTCACTGCACCAAGGATGTCACTGGACAATGACAATCTCATAGTCAGTGTGATTGAAAGGGTTCATGTCACCCAGGTTAGTGTGCAGGTATCTGTAGACCTCTTAGGCCTCGGGGGCAAAGCCAAGGACATCGCCTCACCTTGCTGGCCCTTATATTCCTCATCTGGATAATGGGAATGGTAACACCACTTGCCCCCGAGGTTGGTAAGGGCCAGAAAGGCAGGTGTCTCTCTCATGAGGAATCCTGTGTGGGAATCGGAGGTGGGGCCATGCTCAAGTGGGAGGAGATATGGTGGGAAAGACTGGGTCACTGGTGGCCCTTGGTGGAAAAGAGCTGAGGCGAGGAAGCTTTGAAGAGGTGGAACCCTGGATGTGGGGCTTGGGCGGGGGACCGTACTTTAACCAACCCCTCGCCTTTGACACAATGTAAGCTCTGCTATCCTTCAAGTCCCAGTTCAGACTGCACCCCGTCCCCACGGTACCTCCTCCTCCGGAATCTTAAGGCAATAACTTGTCTGCACAATCTCCTTTGGCAAAGAGTTAGCAGACACCTGAGCGTGGGGCTCTTGTTCTCATGGAGAGAAGATAGGTTTGAGGGTCAGATGAACCCGGGGCCAGGATCTAGCTCTGCCATTTTCCACTGTGTGGTCAGTGGGTCAATTGCAGGGGAGGGCCCCACTCTACAGAGCTGTTGTGAGAATGGCAGGCTGCACTGAGAAAGCCCGCCTGGGACATGCTCGATACCACCAATATGGCCCTGGGGGAGTCACAGGTGCTCAGTAAACAGGCTCTGCCCACAAAGGATCTGACTCCCCCACCTCCTGACAGTCCGAGAGATGTGGTGGACACAGTCAGGGCGTGTGTGTCATGGTCCCTGGTGAGCAAGCCAAGAGTCACCTGACTCCTGATTGTCCAAGTATGTCTTTCCCACTGACCTTCTTCTCCTATGCCTTTTCCATTTCACTTGCTCCACCCAAGATACACTCATCTCTCACAAAACCGCAAAGCATTTCAAACTCAAACCATCTCCTGCCTCTATCTCATTTCCAGGCTGCAGCTGCACCTCCTTTCTAGAGAAGTGTGGCCTGGGGCTCCCCTACCCTCTCTACTGGCCTCACCAAGATCCTCTCATGTAAGGGCACCCCCACAACCTCTGCTCTGCCAATGGCACCTGCCTGACCTGCAGCTCAAAGTCCTGGAAGCTGGGCACCTATGGCCCAGCTTCCACTGCCTCTCTGGTGCCTCGTTCTGGTTCTCCTCTGTTCGACCCTGGCCTCTGCCTGTGGCTCCTATCCTCGCTCCATAGCGCACCAGCATGGTGTCTGGTTTGAGACTTGTTGTTCCTGTTGGTCAAGCAGCCTGGTGGTGTTCACAAGCCCACAGGGACCAGGCGGGCATGGTCCTCGCCCAGCCTCTCCTCCTGACTTCTCAGCTTGGTCGGC